ATACATACATACATACATACATACATACATACATACATACATACATATACAATGCCCATATTACGTTCATTGACCCAGTGTCAGTACACATAAGCATAGACTTCATACTTTTACATAAATGTTGGTGACTAAAAAGTGTTATTTTCTCTCTGGAAGTCACAGAATGAAGCAGAGAGAAGTAGATCTGCATCCAAACGCCATCAAACACAGCCGACTCCACCATCTACGTTTGATTGACAACGGAAATATGAGGCCAGGTCCCTAGAAGCTATGAAAATAAACAGAGCTGTGGCAGAGTACATATGTATGTATCCATAAATGTATGGATAAAGTACATACACATGGATAAAGCATAGCCAAGGAAGGAATACTTAAGATCATTGTGTTATTTTTTTATCAAGATTGCTTAATATTGTGCACAGCATACAACCTCAAAATATTGTTCTTATTGTTTATTGTATTTATTTATTTTTTGTATTTTATTTATTAATACAAATATTTCTGTTAAATTTTGGGGTCTTTGTTTTTATCCTTGTGGTATAGAAAATGGTATCGAATATTGAATATTTTTCTGAGTATCGTATCAAGTTGAAAATGTTAGTGTCGTGACAAGCCAAATCTGGAGTTCAGATGAGGATTTGTGCACAAACGCTTCAGATTTGTGGAGTTTAAACTTTTTCCTGGCGATACAGATGCCATGAAAACCCACCGAGCTTCGCAATCCGAAACCAACGTGGTGATTCGACGGTTCGGAGCTAAAAACTAAAGTCCAGGACTTCACACAGAACAGAAAAACCGCATCGTCAGATCTAAAACAACAGGCCCTCCACACCGTGTTGTCTTTATTTGACTAAAAGCAGAAGCGGTGTGGGAACAAAAGGCGCTACTTCCTTCTGGGAGCCGCTCATTAAACGCCCACCGAAACCCGACCGCATTCAGCCGCTCAGGAACGCTGCCTCCAGCATCCAGGTGCTTTGAGACTAGGAATGTCCCGATCCAGCTTTATTTACTTCCGATCCGATCCCGGCCTATCAGAGCATGTGTTAAAGTTTAAAGTTATTTATCTACTTACTTAGTTGACAGACTCATGTTAAACAGGGATTTACTCTGATAACAACTTAATGGTTAGGACACAGACCTGTGGGTTACAGATGCTAATGCTAATGCTAAAGTGGGATCGGACTTTTTAAAAAAACTGGATCTGGAGTCTGGATCTGCATTTTTTCCTGCCGGCTGATGCCCATTTTTTTTCAAATATCGGCGGCCGATCCAATCCAGATATCGGATCGGGACCATCCAATGGAGACCTTGGAGTCTTCACAACTTCCAAAGCTTTGGTTTGATATGTAAATGTGTGAAGAACAGCTGTGAAACGTCCCTGTTTAGGTGCCAGTTTAGGTTTTCAGGGTGTAGTTAAGTGATTTGGCTTAAAAATTCCCAGGAAGGCTTTTAAGGGGAAAGCAGCAAATAAGCCGCTGTTAGCTGTTAGCTTAACTCGACGCCCCCTTCACACGTCGGTTTTATTTTCCTGTTTCTGGAGTCAGGTGAGTTAAAAACAGGACAAATTACCTCATTTCTATGGAAACTGGTCATATTTGGTACCAGAATAAATCCCTGTTCAACATGAGTCTGACAACTAAGTAAGTAAAATAAATAACTTTAAACTTTAACACCTGCTCTGATAGGCCGGGATCGGGATTGGATCGGAGGAGAATAAAGCTGGAATCGGGACATCACTACTGCTTCAGACAGACAACAGGAAGCAGCTGCTGCTGTAAGTCAGTCTGGAAAAGCTTATCCACACATGGAAAACCTCCGTTAAGATCCAGCCGGTGGACTCTGAGGTCTGCAGAGCCCAGAGGAGCTGCACCGGAGAAACTGGCTGCACGTTGAAACGCTATGGGCCTCAGCCAGCAGCTCAAAGGTCAAAGGTCAGGACAGAGTTTGTCTGTCTGGGCTGCAGGAGGGAAGAAACCTCCCCCAAACCACCAGAGAGGCCGGCATTGTGTCGGCTTTCCCAGCTTTTACCGGCCTTACTTTAAAAATAAAAATAAAATAAAATTAAAATAAAATTAAAATAAA